TTTTCTCACTCAAGCAATGTATGCAAAGTGGATCATTCCCAAAGGAATACATGAATGGGTTATCGTTTGATAGATACACGTATATGATAAAATTGTGTCGACTACGAAACCATGAAAATCTATTAAAAGTAACTGGATAATTATGTAAGGGATGCCACCTTGGGTTATCAAAATTTTGACTCGACCTAATTTAGATGCCTTATGCTACTAATCCTTCCAAAGGCAATTTTCTTTTTTAATGGTTTCAATTTGCCCAAAACCATTGGAGATTATGTGTAAAATTTTAAAAGTATAGTGAGATAAATTATAATTAGATCAAACTACAAGAAGGTATTCCATAATTTGCTCTTAAAAGATTTATATTTTAAAAACATCATTGTGTTTAGAGTTTACATTATCCAAAGAAATTAAAGAATGGATTGAGACGAGGGTTGGTGGTAGAGGAATGAAATCAACCAAGTCTCTTATCTCACTTGTATCAGAGATAATTATTTGAATAAGTTCGTGTGACCCTAGTTGCCTCAACTCCTTACACTTCTCCTTTTTGTAAAAAAAAGATCTGTTCACCACAAAGCTAACCAAACAACTTTACTAAAGTCAAAGTTTGCAACTATATCATGTCCTCCATCAAATTACCAACCTTACATTCACACATTGTATACATCTACAGATGATAGAAAACTAAAATAAAAAAGACCCCAAGGCTGAGATAGAGCTCTTCATTGCCATTATTTTGATTATAATGGATCCAAATCCTACAGAGTAGGCCCCGATACCTATAACCCTACAACAAAACACAAAAATGAGTTAAATCCAAGAATTACCAGTAAAAATTGAACCCAAAGCGTTCAATATTATAGTTCTTTTGGAAGTCAATTCTCGATCGCCTTTTTTGTTATTTTTACTCCAAGTGACACTAGACAAACCCAAAAATTTGACTCTTCAATTCAAATCCATTATAATGTACCCCCTTGTTATATTATCAGCAATTGATACACTGCTCATTATACCAAGGAGTCAGCAATGCTCTCAATTTTGCTCAGTGAGTTTGGGTTTGACAGAATAGTTCCTAAGCCTCGAAAAATAACTCTGGAATATTGACAAACAACTGTTTGGATGATAAACCATCAATTTCATGATTACTTCTCCCAATAATTCTTCAGGGTGATGGTACAAATCATAATTCCATCAGCACATGTGACATGCGTAGTCAAGTGGACCCCAGCAGAAGCAGCATAAAAAGACTAGTTTGGTGGAATATTTCTCCATTCTACTTAGTGGCTAATTGCTTGCATATATATAATTTTTTTTTATTTGGGGAGATTACAAACCTCCTATTATACGATAACACAATAGGTCTCTTTGCAAGTGATTGAAATTGGTTGATTTTATAGATTTTTGAGGAAAATAAATCAGGTCTATTTGGATTTAGACTTTTGGATCAACTTATAAAACAATTTATTAAATCTCAAAAGATTTATTTAGGCTGATTTAAAAAACTGATTTACTAGTTTTTTTTTCCTTTTTTTAAATTTTTTTCATGAATCCCACATAACCTTTTAGTTTATTATATTCATAAATATTATTACTGACGTAAAAAAAATTTAAAATTCATATTTTGAGAATTATTATACATAATCTATATATACATGTAATTATATTTTATTTTGACACAAAAACTAAAAAATTACTCCAACAAACTTTTCTATCTTTTTTAAAAAAACACCTCAAACGGTTTTGAGATATTTTTTTAACTCATTTTTTTATGAAAATTTTTAAATCGCAACTTTTCACTTAAAAAGGTTAGCTCCAAATAGTCAATTCCATATTTTTTTGGACAAACTTTATTATCATCTGAAGTTCCACTTGTAAGCCACGTGGATTTTAGAGGCGTGATAAAATTATTTTATTGTCGTATAAATATATATTATGGATTCAAAATATAAAACGATATTTTTACGAGCACGGTAAATATACGAGAGAAAAAAAAAAGTGACGAGAAAAATTACAAAAAAAAAAAAGTGCTAATGGAACCAGGCGGTGGTTTAATTGTTTGCTAGTAGAGAGAAAAGGCAATCCGGCCCCTTCATCCTACAGAACTTGGGGCAATCATTAGATACAAAACAAAGGAACGAAGACAATCATAGTGGCGTGATGTACTCTGACCCCACTTTGATCTACCCTTTTGAGATAAGAAATGAACGTTTGGTGCCTTTGCTGTCTTTCACTAACAAATTAACAATGCCTTATCTTATCATATCATAAGGTAAAGAAATAGGAAAATAAATAACTGGCATGGGCTGCCTGGGGATCATATGAGAAATAAAAGGTAATTTACCAGCTCCATCAAACAAGTATTTATAAGTATATTATTAACGGATAATTATTAATATTTAATATTTTTTATTAATATTGCAGTCTCGTCTTTAAAGGCACATTTTATTTGAACTTGATTCTTAAATGCACATAAAAAAAAATTACCGAGTACACGAGATTTTCGTCATTGCAGGAGAAAATATTCATTATAACGGTAATAACACATGATAATATGATGTGATAGTATCATTAATCAGTAATACTAAAATAAATAAGTAAATGAATCTTACAAAAATTAATAACTAACATGTCATGTAAGTAAATAATTCTTCACTCTTCCTCTATGTAAGGTTAAGTGGAAGTTCACCTTACCCACTTAGAGTTTTATTATTAATTAGTGATACCATGTCATAAATGGTAAGAGTTAGACGTAAGTAACCATACCTTAGAAAGTAAAGAGATGATTTATGTGACACGAAGAGGAAAAAAAAAAAAAAACCAAAAGAGTGACGGCATTCCCTTAATGTCAAAAAGAGTCAAGGAACTAGGAAGAGTTAAAAACTTCTGTTCAATTCACCTTGCTTTTTTTTTTTTGGGTCGTTGCCTTCTCATCTCCCACTATAAAATAAGAATTGAGGAGATGGTTGTATCCAACTTCACAACTCTCTCTCTCACTCTCACTCTCACTCTCTCACACACACACAAACTCAAAGTCATGACCATGAGAGTGCCTTGGGTAGCCTTGTGTGTCGTACTTGTTTTGGTACTTGGGGGAGCTCAGGTGTCTATGGCGGCAATCACTTGTAACGCACTTCAGCTGAGTCCATGTGCAACTGCAATCACATCCTCCACCAAGCCTACCCCAATGTGTTGCAGTAAGTTGAAGGAACAGAGGCCTTGCCTTTGCAAGTACCTGAAGGACCCAAAGCTTCAAAAATTTATCAACTCTCCTAATGCCAAGAAGGTGGCTACCACTTGTGGCACTCCATTCCCTCGTTGTTAGTCTTATGAATGTTATTACCTTAATTTCTATAATCTATACGGTCCTGGTAATAGTGTTTTCGTTTATGCTATCCTATCTAGAGAGTGCTATTTAGATATGGGAATCAAGGTGTGGGAACGGACTTTTCCTTGTATGTTTTATGTTGTGATTGTAAGCTTAGTTTGTGGGTTATAATGAATTGATGCTTGCAACATGTTATTTTGGCTGCAGGTTGAATACTTGTTGATCTTAAATAGGGCCTCTTTATGTACTATAAGGTATCAGCTCTGATCCGTTGACATGAACCTGACACGAACGATTATTAAATTCGCATAATAAGTTGTCTAATCTAATGTTTAATACTCAGAACACACTAAATAGATTTTTTTTTAATAGGTCGTGACACGAACATAAACACAAAAAACACGACCCGATTGATACTCCAATAACCATATTAGTTGACCTAATAGTAACCCAATCTCGTTATTATTCATGTCATTGTTTGGCTAACGCACATAACTTGTAAATTGAAAGTTCAGGATTATGATGCTCTTTTCTCCCACCATAGTGGACACTTATCTGTCTGTCCAAGAGATGGGAAAAAACAGAGATTGTTTTGGGTTATTTGTTATTAATATTAAATCGACTTATTTATTATCTTTATTATCTAGATAAGGAGAAAAATTATTTTTTGCAATTTTTTTTCTATGAAGAACCCAAGAAATCGCACAAATTGTTATTTCTTCGACGATTTTATCCTTTTGTTACAAATACCTATTTTGATAATTTTTTTTGCCACGTTTTTCATGCTGCATTGCAAAATTCTCATTTTATTTGGGCGAAAAATGGCGGAAAATGATAATATCTTGTGACAAAAAATTTTTGCTGAAAATAATAATTAATCATCACAAAATATGATAATCAAAAATTAAAGTAAAAATAGCGCAACGTTTTCATCTGGCATTGCGAATTACTTTTTTTTGGAATTTTTTATTGCGACAATTATTTTACTTTAAGAAGTTAAATTTGCTATTTTTATAACCAAACTGACGTAGTTGTGGGGCCTTTAAAAAAACCCCTTCCCAAAACGGCTTCCTTTTGGAAACCCCCTAACAACTCCACACAATTCTCTCTTTCTCTCTCTCGCTCCAACCACGCAATCTTTGACCATGCCAACAAATAGAAGTCCCAAATAGGGCCTAATATGCACTCAAACATTTCATTTGTTTGGTTATGTGCATCTTGATCCTTCTTGTAACCTTTTGCTCAATTCTTGCATTTTGCGGTGAATCTTAATCTTTTCCATCGACTTTTTTGTTTTATTGTTCTCGATGATAAATCATTCAAGAGCCTAATGCAAACCTCGGATCCATGTAATTATTCGCAAACAACAAATGTTGGACTAGATTTTACTTGTCAGAGTGAATTTTCCGAAGGTATAGATTGATGCCTTACCAATTGTTTGACCAACCATGAAAAATAAAGAAGTTCAGTCTTTGGTTCATGCATGCATGGCAAAAGTTATGTATGAAGTAGAAGAGAAAATACACAAAACCCTTCATTGAAAAGCAAAACTGAAACATGGGATTGCATGTTTTTCTGCAACAGAAACAAATATATGTTGTAGAGCCCCCTTGCACAGATTGAATCTCCCTTATCTCATTCCCTGAAAACCATGAAAAGTTCATAATTAATCTTCCCGTCAAAGCCGTGGTTTCTGATCTTCTTTCCCTTTGATCATCAAGCTCGGCGGACGATAAAGTTTCTGGCGCTCCCATCGATTCCGATCAGGTCTGTACAAATAGGGTTGTTCTTTGATGCTCCAAAAGCACATGGTGCATCTTGACCTCACCGTATAAGCCCAGAAAAACCCTTGCTTATTGTCATCAATATACAAGTAGCACCAACGCATAGGGAAAGCAATTTGCGTAAACACATAGCTCAGTCTCTCTCCTGCCTTGAGCACATGCAACGCATCGCTGAATTTTGAGCCTTTGCACATACAAAAAACATCCTTGTCCCTATCATTGGCCACGGTCACCGTCACGTTTGGAAACAGGTTCCGTTTTTCAAAGCCAGCAAATGAAGGCTTGAGGAACATACAGAGCACAATGGCGAGGACTATGCAGCCGTTGGCAGTCATGATGGTGGTAAACGTGGTGGTGGAGGAGGTGGCGGATGCAATGTGGTTAAAGACGTAGAGAAGTATAAATAGTGAAAAACGCCGGAGGAGGTTTATTTGCTAGCTGTGAGTGGGTTTTGAAACAGTGGTTAAAAATAACAACCTACATATATGCATTCAAACTAATGTTTATTTTTAGCTCAAGCCAAAAAAGTAAAATGAAAAGGTCATATTTAGACAAAGCGATCCAATTTATAAAGGGCTGTTCTAAATTTAGCATGATCATGGGATCAAATGGAACTGGCAATAATTATGAATTTAAAAAACCGTTGTGTATAATTTACGCTTAGTGCTTTCAATTGCCACCAACTAGTCATTAAAGATCCATCTGCAAAAGGTTTAATCAGAGTATTTGGTCTTACAAAAGAGTGGAGGTTGTGTATAATTTACGCTTAGTGCTTTCAATTGCCACCAACTAGTCATTAAAGATCCATCTGGGCAAAAGGTTTAATCAGAGTATTTGGTCTTACAAAAGAGTGGAGACAAAAGAGAACACCCAAAAACCACCCAATAGGCCCTCACTTATGGGATCAGGAAAAAACCCAAACTCGATTCCCCCACAATGTTTAAGGTAAGGCGATCCATGCATCTGGGATGATTAAAGAGACAAGTCGGGGTTCTCCCTCTGGATGTACGGGGTACAAAACGGAAGTCCTCTCTTAGTCTCATTTACCGCAGAAGAAAAGGAAGTCCGGATGATTAACTTGATTCAGTTTAAGCCAATTATCAGCAGCCTGCAAGAGGGAGTTCACCAACTGGAGTTCGCATCCCCCATTAGGGGTCCACATGGATTCTTTAAACTTGTATGAAGCAAGACCAAAAACTGACAATGTAATCATTGGATGACAATCCATCCCATAGGGATATGAGACAATTGGAGCATGTGCGCTTTGAGTGGCTGCAAGGAGTCAAAATGCACATCTCACAGATGTTTGTACCGTAAAAACTCAGAATGCACAATCATTGAACTGAAATTTCCAGGACAAAATTATTTTCCCTCTAGACACTTTTTTTTCCCCTTCTGGGGGTGGTTGAATGAGAAGCACCGCCTAAGGTCATGACGAAAATCTGAAAGAATCTCTTGCTAGCTTGAAATAAAAAAGGANTCTTTTTTTAAATTTTTTTCATGGATCCCACATAACCTTTTAGTTTATTATATTCATAAATATTATTACTAACGTAAAAAAAATTTAAAATTCATATTTTGAGAATTATTATACATAATCTATATATACATGTAATTATATTTTATTTTGACACAAAAACTAAAAAATTACTCCAACAAACTTTTCTATCTTTTTTAAAAAAACACCTCAAACGGTTTTGAGATATTTTTTTAACTCATTTTTTTATGAAAATTTTTAAATCGCAACTTTTCACTTAAAAAGGTTAGCTCCAAATAGTCAATTCCATATTTTTTTGGACAAACTTTATTATCATCTGAAGTTCCACTTGTAAGCCACGTGGATTTTAGAGGCGTGATAAAATTATTTTATTGTCGTATAAATATATATTATGGATTCAAAATATAAAACGATATTTTTACGAGCACGGTAAATATACGAGAGAAAAAAAAAAGTGACGAGAAAAATTACNTTTTTAACTCATTTTTTTATGAAAATTTTTAAATCGCAACTTTTCACTTAAAAAGGTCAGCTCCAAATAGTCAATTCCATATTTTTTTGGACAAACTTTATTATCATCTTAAGTTCCACTTGTAAGCCACGTGGATTTTAGAGGTGTGATAAAATTATTTTATTGTCGTATAAATATATATTATGGATTCAACATATAAAACGATATTTTTATGAGCACGGTAAATATACGAGAGAAAAAAAAAGTGACGAGAAAAATTACAAAAAAAAAAAAAGTGCTAATGGAACCAGGCGGTGGTTTAATTGTTTGCTAGTAGAGAGAAAAGGCAATCCGGCCCCTTCATCCTACAGAACTTGGGGCAATCATTAGATACAAAACAAAGGAACGAAGACAATCATAGTGGCGTGATGTACTCTGACCCCACTTTGATCTACCCTTTTGAGATAAGAAATGAACGTTTGGTGCCTTTGCTGTCTTTCACTAACAAATTAACAATGCCTTATCTTATCATATCATAAGGTAAAGAAATAGGAAAATAAATAACTGGCATGGGCTGCCTGGGGATCATATGAGAAATAAAAGGTAATTTACCAGCTCCATCAAACAAGTATTTATAAGTATATTATTAACGGATAATTATTAATATTTAATATTTTTTATTAATATTGCAGTCTCGTCTTTAAAGGCACATTTTATTTGAACTTGATTCTTAAATGCACATAAAAAAAAATTACCGAGTACACGAGATTTTCGTCATT